AAAAAAAAAAAAAAGACATTTGATCACAAATGCACCTCAAATTTTAAATTAGAAATGACTAGAAATAGTAAATGGTAATGCTTACACATACATCCACACATGTCTACACACTCACCCATCAATAAATTATATTCTAAAACAATATTTCAGCAATAAAAATGGGTCATAACACAAAATCAATACTAAACAGATGGCATCATATTTACCATCACATCCTCTCCATTACTTTTTCACCCATTCTCCCTCACCCTCCAGTAGCCCATTTTGGCCAGGATCAAGTGGAAGGGGCTCATTGCTATGGTTGCCAGTAGCAACCAGAGTTCTTTCGTAGGTTCAAGAGATGACAAAGACCTTGCAGATAATAAAATCTCAAAGCAGTAACACTTAAGCAATGGTCATAGCTTTTTGTACTTTCTTAAATAAGGCTTTTTTCCAGGATTTCAAGGGAAAAAGTTAAGCTCTCAATTAAGGAAAAACAAACTGGTTCACAGGCCAAATTTGGCTCAATGCCTGGTTTTGTAAAGAAAATTTTTATTAGAAGATATCCATGCTTATTTGTTTATGTATTTGTCTATGGCAGAATTGAGTACATATGGCCCATAAGGCCTAATATATTTACAATCTGGTCCTTTATCAAAAAAAATTTTGCCAGCCCCTATTCTAAACTGTAGCTACCAAAATACTGAGACTACCCCTAAGAATACCTGTACCAGCCCTCCCAATCCAGCTGCGTCAACCTCAGAATTCACTCTATAAATGCACATTCACTCCTGTCTAACATGTACATTTATCAAAGGTAAAACAGATTTGGAAGGCTCTCAGATACATGGAAAATGGAATCCAAAGCAATAGCTAGCAAGAATATCAAAGTTAGCAATACTGATCTTTTTCTCCTTGTGATAAATTGCTGGCATTTCTACTGGAATATGGGCACACTGGTTCATGTCGGATGAACAAGTAACAGCTGATAGTTAGGGGAAGCTCTGCTTTACATTCAATTCTAAGCCTTCAAAGTCCCTTCCAACCTGGAGACTCTAAGATTTTAATGCAACACAAATATGGGCATAAATTCAGTAACTGAAAACTCAAATTACCCATGGTTAAAAATGATCAAATGAGAGAACTGATGGGATTTGGGGGTAGGGAGTCCAGTTCTGTGATATCACCAATAGCTCTCCTGGGTTATCAATTGCAGGAGGCCCAAGTTTATCTACTGTCACTGGGTCACCACTTAGACAAGTGGTAGAGCTCAGAGCCCAAATCCATCTCTTCTCAGGGCTGAGGGAGCAAATAAATAGTACAAGCTGCTACAGGAAATAAGCCCAGTGGGTCAGGCCCATGATCTCTCCAACCTTCCACAAACAAGGAAAAATAAGGGGTCTGGAGGGTTAGGTTTATCTAAGCCACAGGATAGGTACCTTGCTGGTCCAAACCAAAGTTCAAACCTGACCATTTCTGAAGAACAGCAAACAACATGTAATTCTGGAGTCACTCACCCAGGTGAGAGGGTTGGCCTCAGGTCGAAGGGCAGGGAATGCATCTCTGTTTATAAGACCCAGTTTTACAAATCCATTCAAAGCTTTGGCATACCCCTATAAAAGAATTATTAAGTAGTGTATGAAATTTTTCCCTTCAAAGAAAAAATTTAAAATGCTTTTTTGAAAAGAGGGATCTGTCTTTGTAATTCATGTAGAAGATAGGCTGAAAGTAGTCATCTGACTTGCCTGTATGGATGCAAACACCTTCAGGTTCAGACTGGAATCAAGAGTGTCACAGCAATTCTGCTGGCTTACCTAAAAGACCTTCAAAGACTTGGGTCTTTACTTCTGTTTCTGAGTAACATGGGAGGGGTATTTCTGGCAGGAGAAGGGCAAATGTCCTCATGTGTTATGCCCTTCCAGCTCAGCAGAATAGTATTTAGCAGAACAGTTCCCTCTCTTATACCCCACAAAAGAGATAATCCATTCTGCTGATTAGGAGCCACTATCCTAATGCACATAGGGAACAGGAAGAGAGGTAGGAATCAGAGAGCTTCTTCTGAAATCACACGAATGTGGGGGAGGGGAGCCAAGGAGAAGGAGTTGGGAAGGATCCCATGGGAAGGTGACAGCAAGCTGGGTCTGCAAGGACACGCAGGTAATAGGCAGGCGCAGGAGAGTAACCAAGGCCTCTCTGTCATACTCAGATGATAGTGTCTCATCTTTAATGTTGGAAAGAATATTTGGGTTACTGAGGGGTAACTGAAGGCATTGCCCAGAATGGTGACCCTCATGGATATGAACACTGCAACATCTTCCACCTTCTGGGGTTCTGTGGGAATGGCTGTCATCCAT